TCGGTGAGGTTTATGAAAGTTATCATTTTTTTCAATACTGTGAAGCAAAGAAAACCTACCTACCTACCCACCTAGAAAAATGAGGGCCGGAGTACATCAAACAAAAATATTTTTAATGAGGGCCTAAAAAATCTTATGATCGGAATAATTATCATCTTTCAGCAAAATTTATGCTCGATATTGGAAATGTCCGAGTGAAACTAAGCTCTGAGCTAAAAACAGATATTCCTTTAAAAAAAAATAAATGGATTTAGATCGTACACACAATAATGAAAAAAATATTGATAACGTTCATGTTAAAAAGTTGAGAAATGTCTCACTTGCAACTTGCATATTATGATGTTATCTTTACCGGCGTTTTTCTCATTATGACGTCAAAATACAAAAGGGCGCTTTTCGCATGGGACGGCTCATATATAAATAGTACAAATCTGAAAAGGGCGCATGAAACGTACGCAGACCTCATAAAACTTCAGACGTGGGATCGGGTCCTAGGTGGACCATTCTCGTTAACAAGTCACACCAGTCATGAACCGTGTGTAATTAACAGATAGACGGATTTTTTCTCAGTCAAATACAGTATACAAAGGGTTAAGATAACAAAGGTCTTTCAATTCATATGAAAAATAATACCTGGTAAAGAAATCTACGAACCAATGGTAAGTTATATTTACCAAAAGTCATAAAAAGACAAAAAGAATTAAACAGACGCTCATACCAATGAACCACGCTAGCGACTTAGGAAAATGAAATCGTAGACTTGAAAGGATGATCAATGAGAAATATTTATTTTTTTATAATATGACATAAGAGGAAAACAAAAATTTTAATACGAAAGCTCACTTGCTCATGTCTGATCTTTTAAAATTTGAGGTCAATATTATGACAATTCATTGCACAGGGCCTCGTTAAAAACCCATAAATTGCAACAATAATTTCCTGTTTCCCCCTTTTATACAGGAAAAAATAATTCTTTTATAAAGATTTTGCACGAAACGTAAGTTCTACCAGGCGTTCATGTGGTCAGATGTGAATCATATGAGCGATAAACTGCGCATTTGCAATTAAATAGACCTACTACCCATTCACTGCTGGTAAAGTGCGAATTGAGAAAATCTTGGATATTTAACCTTTTGTTAAAATTGATTATTGAAGAACGAATAATAAATATTATATTGAATGTTGAATACGTAAAAGGAACAATCCAGTGACTGAGTTAAAATACACCCCAATGTACCGGATCTATTCATGCTTTTAGTATATAAATGTTAAACACGAATTACACTACATTATTTGTGTTAAAAAAATATAAGTATAAGTGAACAAGAGGCCCAGGGGCCACATCGCTCACCTCAGCACATCGGCTAGGAAAAAACACAGATCAGATCATAACTGAAAAGTATACTGAGGGGGGGGGGGGGGTCCAACCCTCCCTACCCCAAAGGGTCTTGATTTGAAAAAAAAAAATTCAATACATGAGGAAGCTTTGATCGGCCATTGTGACCCCGCCCTACCCCCAGGGTTCATGATTTGTATAAACTTGAATCTACACTACCTGAGGATGATTCCACATGAGTTTCATCTTTCCTGGCTCAGTGGTTCTCTCTTTGGATTCTTTTAAAAATGCCATTAATTTTTCACTAATTCATAATTATCTCCCCTTGGAAAAGGGTTTGGCCCTTCATTTGAACAAAGTTGAATCCTCTCTACCCAAGAATACTTTGTAGCAAGTTTGTTTGGAATTGGCCCAGTGGTTTTTGAGACGAAGATGAAAATGTGAAAAGATAACGACGGCAACGACAACAATGACAGACAGCGGACAAATTTTGATAAGAAAACATCACTTGAGCCTTCGGCTCGGGTGAGCTAATTATCACACAAATAAGTTATATAAGTATATGAATAATCGAGGATATTTCAATCATTTATGATTTTCTATGTCTGTAATGTGACACAAGATTTAATCTTTTGCTGCAAGATAAAACTTTCTGATAACATATGGTTGCTGTATAGGTAAGTGCGACTTTTGCACCTGTAATTGCTAAGTTCGGGTTCTTATTAGTTTTGTAAAGAGCAACGTTCAACTGCTGTATCATGATGTTTATAGTTTTCCAAGAAATGAATTTCAAATTAGTATTGATAGATTAGATTATGTTATATCTATTTAGTACAAATAGAGGGTCCTTGAATATAACACAAATACATACATGTACTATATACATTCTGGCCCATGAATTGTTGTTTCATAAGTTAAGCTTATATCACACATTTGAATTGCATTGCACCCCCCCCCCCCAAAAAAAAAAAAATAAGCAAAATGAATTATTCCATAAAGTTAAAAAATGCTTAAAAAGATAACAAAGTGTATGATTCTGCTAAGTTTATACTGCACATCAATCTTAAAAATCATGAATTGTTACTAAGAATATATATGTTCATTAAGGATCTATTCCATAGTTCAATTCTTATCTCCGCGCAATCCAAAGTCATCAAGGGTGAGTCTTCATTAATTGCCTAAAACTTCAGAGTTACTAGATTTCTGTTTGTAGAAGAAACGATAAAGGCCCTTGACCACTCCCCCACCCCACCAGGAAGAAAGGATAGACCTCTCTTGAATAAGAATGAGAGCAATGTACATGTGGATTTACTAGTAACAGAAAAGAAATTAACATGATTGTGTTTAAGTTTTTAAATCTTCTTGCTAAATAGTTTAAAACCTTTCACATGGAAAGATGGCATAGTCAGGCATCAAGTATTTCCGATAGTTACCTTACATGAAATATTTTAATATTTCAACAAAATATTCCAGTATACGTATTCTCGTATTTGAATGGCATATAGAGGCCATTCTACAATTAAACATGCAGGTTCGTAGCAAAATACTTTCAGAATAATTCCAAAGAACTTTTGGCAATTTAAAATAACAAGGTCAACAGCTTAAAAACTTACAACTTTTCTACTGTAAACACAACCATTCCCCACGATAAATTAAAGTCTACGGTTTTTGATTTCATTGACGGCTGCTTTTTCAATAAAAATGGATCTTGTGAACTTATTTATGTGGTCATTGGTCATTTGCAAAATTATTTTGTTAAAACACATTCTGATTGCACACACATGTACTCTGAAGTTGACATCAAAGAGATGTTTGAGTTTCTGGTTGACAATATCTATGTGGTTTTTGGAGACCAGGTCTTCCAACAATCTATAAAAATTCCCATTGGTACCAAATCGCGCTTCATTATAAGCAGACCGATTTTTATATTCATATGAAGCAGAGTTTGTGCAAAATCTTATGCGTAAAAAGAAGAAAACACTTGCTGTTGCCATCAACTCGACGTTTAGATATATCGACGATATATTGTCAATTAACAATGGTAATTTCGACTCCTACGTCGATACGATATATCTTGGTGAGCTTGAAATAAAAGATACCACAGAGTCTGACACATCTCTTACATATTTGGATATTTTAATTGAAAAAGACGTTGATGGTAATCTAACAATCAAGCTATATGAGCCGTCATATGCGAAAATGGCCCTTTATTACGTCATTATTGAGAAATAACGTAATAATCTTGCTCTATGACTTAAATATTATATCTACACAATGAGGTGCACAAGCAAGACACTTAATGTACCTGCTGCGATATCGCTTATGAACACATTTTATGAAACTCAAAAATATATTGCACACTAAAATGGTGAAAATAATATGTTTGATACCTACTGGAACTACTGGAAGCTCTTATTTCAATGGATTTGTCATATATTGATATATATATTATGAATGCATGTACTCCTTTCTCTTTTCTCCCCCTCCCTAGCTTTCTCTCCTCTCTCCCCTTTTCACCCCTCTCTCTCTGCTTCTCTCTCCTTCTAAAACGAAAAAATACACCTTCTGTATTTGTTATTAATCACTTATTATATGAAATAACAGAATGTGTAAAACAAAAATAAAGAGTTATAAAAAAAATAATTTTGCAAATGACCAATGATCGGGTGAGTAAATTTACGAGTTCCATTTCTATTGAAAAAGCAGCTGTCAATGATGTCAAAAAGCCTGGAATTAAATTTATCATGGGGAATGGGTGTGTGTAAAGTTTTTAAGCTGTTGATTTTGGTAAAATCTTCATCACTTCACACCACATCTGATTTACATGAAATTGAATATCGCTAAAAATTGTGTTTTATTTGTAATTTAGCTTCTTTAGTGAGCATTTTTAAATCGCTAAAATTACATCTCTCTCACTGAAATAAAATACCAGATTTTAAATACAGATCGCTGAATTTGCGTCTTGCTAAAATTTTCACTTATATCGTGTATTGTTGCACAGTGAATTCTTTCCTTCTCTATTGTCAATATCCTATTATTAGTGAAAAGTAATGAAAGAATTTTAGATAAACGTGTAGACGGTGTATTACACGATCTTTTTGTATTGCAATATATTTAATATTTGATTCACATTTGACCCTCAGGGTAAAAATAAAATTTAAAAACCTTACTGCCCATCTACAGGACACCACTAATCATTTTCTAAAAGATGATTAAAATGTAAGAGAAAAGTTGATGAAGTTATTGTTTTGAGCTTCATATTGCCCCAAGGATTAAATTAAAAATGTCAAAAACCTTATTGCACATCTATAGCTTTTACATTCCAAATTTTTTTTTTGAATTCTGGTTAAAATGTAGGTATAACTTCAATAAGAAAAATATATGACATATTGACGGATGGACTAGTGTAACAAAAATTAAACCTATTTTGTTCTCTAGAAATATGGCTATAATATTTTATTAATGAAGATACACACCTCAAGGAAAAATAAATATTAAAGCTCACATCTGTATTTAAATGTCAATGAATTGGTAGGACGTGCAGCTCGTTGCACAATGTATTGTATAACGGATAATTAAATTAAATGTATTCAAAAGATTTACCCGCTATTTAAGCATATTGAATCAAATTGCAACTCATGATCATATATCTGTTAGATAATCAGTTCTGGATTTGGATAGCCTTTTCAAATTTGAGTTTATACGCACATATACGTAAATTTGTTGTTAGGACTACCAGTCCTTTGTTAATAGTTTTCTAAATATTGACCGACTGCAAACATTGCATAATGAGGATGACTTAAAGGACGCAGCATTAAATCGTTAATTGGTAAGTAAAAGGAACATGAGAATAAAATCCTTCAATGAAATTAATTTGGTTAATTTAAGTTTAATTTTAAGAGAGATCGAAATAAATCCTTATGAATATCGAGTGTTCTGTAACTGATTAAAAAATGTAGAAATTATGAATTAATTTGATTGCAAAAATAATTGTTTTAAAATGTATTTTCCAATAAATATGGAAAGATTTAGTGTTTTCTTTTGGACCTTGAGAAGAACAAAATAAAATTTTATTGATGAAACAAGAATATCAACAGTCTATTTTAAAGTCATCATTTCGTAAACCCTAAACTCGATACAATGACCTTGTCAGCAAATACAATTTGATACAAATACTGACCGTCGTTTTCATACTCATTGTTAGTCCATTATTTATACACTGAATTGACTACGGATTTTTCCGTTATTTTCCGATCATGACAGTGAGCACACGGCGGGTGTGATCGGTCAGCAGGGGATGCTCACTCCTTCATGGCACCTGATCCACCTCTGATGTTTTTTTAAGAGGTCCTAGTTTTCTCTGCTCCTATTTTGTATTGTTTAATGGACTTTGATATTGAATACTGTTCGTTATCTCCATATCCTTCTTTGATGGTGTTTTGCACATTTACATAATACAAAAATACAATTTGTTGAATTCAAAAAAATTAAATATGCTTTTTTAAAGGTGTATTTTTGGTATTGTTTGTCGAATTTTTTCATCAATTCACCTCACTGACTCAACAACAATTTTAGGTTTTGTATGACAATACGTTCATCATGGACATAGCGGAGTCAGTTCTTCAAAGAATAGGCTACGGTTTGACTAGACATCCCAAAGACGAAGACCCGTTTTATTACAGTCTTCATTTAGCATCGGAAAGGGGTCCACTTTCTAGAAAATGCGCAAGACAAATGCAAGATGAGATATTTGAACTTGAAGTAAATAACTCTTGGTATTTCCACCTATTTAACCCACAGTATATGAGTTGTGACGGAACAATACATCCAAGAGAATGCCTATCTCGTGATCTTGAAAAGAAGAAAAAAGAATAGATAGACGTCTCTCCCAGAGAAATTTATGCTGGGGCAGAATTACTAAAGAAGAACATATGTCTTATTCGTTACGACACATCTGTCATAGACGATGTGCTCGGATTTAAGGGGTACGTTTTCGCTCCAACTATCAGACAGTGTTTTGACACAGATCCAGTATATATCTTAATGGTCGAAAATGAGAATGGATCGTTAGAATTCGGCAATGTTGATTTCAGAGATCATAATAAAGATCTAAAGTCTTGTCCGTGGGTTCTCGTGAATGAAGAGCACAAAAACTGTTTTGGATTAAGATTCAGAAATGATTTCCGCTTACTCTTTGATGAAAGTTTTAGATATGGAATAAAAGATGACGTCAAAGATTTGTATCGTCGTCTGAGTTTGGAATTCTATGGCAACGAAGATTACCATGACCGTATACTGAATATTATTTGTAACTTTGAACTGGAAGGTAATAATCTGGATTTATTTTGCAAGTATGCAGACGATTCCATCAGTGAAGAATCGACCACTGCCGAAAAGGAGAGACTTTTGAAGACTCACACCGAGGAAGTAAAAAATGGAATGAAACCATCCGGCGATGGAGAACTTTATGCCATATCGTCAGTTTTCAACGTGGACGTTGTCGTTGATAAAATGTGTAGAGGTGATTGGGAAACTTTTATGTCAGTCTCGTGTACATATGCATGCTGTTTTGATTCACCAATTCTTCTGAAACAGCAGACATTACACGAATATACACCATATATCACAGCACCATAAGTATGCTCTTGTCGCCAGAAGAAGCCAGAAATACAAGGTCACATCGGCAAAATCAAAGATGATGTCTACAAAACAGTGTGTAGGTATTTTCTTATTCTTCGTAAACGAGCTTATGATTTAAGAGTAGTCAATGGTTTGAGAGAGTACATGTACGAGAGTTGTCGTTAATGTTCGTGGACAACATTAATAATTTCTGACAAACATTTATAAAATATATGAAACTATCATTTTCATAAAATTCATGTTTCATTTTATAAATATGCAAGTTTTCAACAAAAAAGAAACAAAGCACAAGTACTTATATTTTTATCAGATACAAAAAAGACACACAATCATACCTGAAGCACTAAAACAAAAATTCTTGACGTTTCCGACCCCAAAAGCCTAATACAAGCACATGTAACTTTTCTCAACATAGTCACCGTGTTACTCAATGCATTTTTTTATGTCGCCTTAACCAGTCATAAAAAGTGCACAAAATGTTCAGGTTTAATACGTAAAATAATATTTAACAATGCCTGTCTCATATTCTGCAATAATCCAACCTCTGTCCGCGTAAAGATGATTTTTTTAACGGAAATTCGGCAAAGTCACCTTACGAAATTCATTTTTTACAGCACTAAAATCTCGGAATGATGGTTTTCTTTCACGCATGTCATCCTGTAAACTATTTTCCGTCCGAGAATATTATATGCCATTTAATTTCTAATGAACGATCTTTTACTATGTTTTCCCGATTGTTTACAGAATGTATAGGTCTCAGTAGTTGTTTTTCCGATGTCTACGCAACATTTTGTCGCTGCTCACTGCTCCACCTATTGCGAAAACTTCCCATTTATGAACTATTCCGATGTGTCTATTACGTTCTAACTTTGATTGTGCAGCCATTTTGAAACTTTGAACGTTCAAATTTTGCAGGTTTGACGTGATAACGTCTGTCAATCTCATATAATATATTCTTATAGATTTTTGCAGAATTTTACAAATGAAATTTATAAAGTGATAAATAATTTTTAAGTTAAAATTTTGAAGTGCTCCTGGTCTCCATTCCAAATCTTATCATGAAGCCAAAATTGTAATTATACATTTGAAATTGAATAAAATTTTACATTTTTCAATTCACATTTACTAAAGGATTAGAAATATGCTAATAATAAATATCAATGACACAACTTTATTCAATTTTTAGCTTGTCCACGAACTTAACGGATAACCCTCGTATATATGCTATATAAGTCGTAAGATTTCAATCGTTGAAAGCCCTTAAATTGCAGTAAAACAGTTTTCCAAGAATCAGGTTAGGTTCAAAATGGGGTTCCAAAGTCATACGAAAGCTTTAACGCTGCACCCGTTATGAGCAATGTTCTACAGCCATCTTTTCCTGCATGGGTTTTCTTTTATTGTTCGTTGCAGGTGAATTCTAGAAGTGTTTTCATTGAATTCATTCCATATGTTTTTCCCTTTTGCCTTCGGATGTTAGTCTTGTTGAGATCAATATCGTTGATATTTTTTTCTTTACCCAGCGTACTTGAAGGATGAAGTTTGTTTTTGTCTAGTTCTTGTCTCTCCACTTGCTTAATTCTTGTTTTTTCATTCAATCACTATTGTTGTGTTTGCTTGCTTAATAATCCGAGATTCCTCTGACTTAACCCCTGCTTTTATAAAGTTGCACAACAGTATTAAATTCTGCTATATACACTGTATTTAACCAAAAATGCGCAAGTTTGAGTAGGTGTAATTAATTTAAAACAAACTTCTGAGAAGTTTCCTTTTCAGATCTTGTAAAACAATTCTTTATAAAGATTTTAGTACTAAAAAATACATAGCCATCCAGCAAGGCACGCAAGTTTGTTTCGGTCGAAGTCGAGCAGCTCTTGACAGCATATAGAAAAATCAGCATGCCCTAAATTTTAATAAATCTGGTCAATACAGGAAGTTAACATGTTGTTTTTTATCTCATAAAATATCAGCTCCAGTCTCGTATCAAAATGCCTGAATCGGAAGGGAAGATTCAGGGATTATTTTGCGTCAGCCATCATTTGACGTGAACCCAAGTGAAATACTGTTACGACATCTGCAATGTGACTTGTGCAGGGGAGAGTCAGAGCGGAGGCCATATTGAAAAATGGGAATTCAGCGACACCAACTGGTGTCGCAACTCTGCCTACCTTTTAAAAGTTTTTATCGCGGAGCAAACATCCGAGACGCAAGAAATCAGTAGAGAAAAGATCCTTCTACAACTTATTCGTCTTTAAAAGGATGCTACCGCCATTAATACAGTCCTATCACCGACAAATGAAGCATCGTTTGAATGAGGTCGCGTACTCGCCATTCGACTTCTAAATTTGCGCATGACGCCAGCATACAAATTTCAGCAACACGTACCGCTGTAAAGGCAACGAATGTTAACTGATATACGGGAGTACGAATGTGTGCTTGACTAACCAAAAAGTCAAATACGGGTGTGGATAAAAAACCCAAAATTATCACATTTATATATTTTAGTGACAAGTGCAAGCGATAAAATTTATTTGCGCCAATGCATTCCCACTTGCGTTTGTGCTAAAATACGTATGCGCCAAAATTTCTCGTTTTACAGTATAGAGAATCAGACATGTAAACTTCAAAATTCAAAGGAACTTCATGACGATTTAAGATCACAAGATTCTACTAAATTCAACAGCTTTAAAACTTACGACTTTTCAACATTATACACAATCATTCCCCACGATAAAATAAAGTCTTGGCTTTTTGATATTATTGACAGATGCTTTTTCAAGAAAAATGGAACTCATAAATTTATATTACTTACTTTTTCATTGGTCATTTGCAAAATTATTTTGTTAAAAATTGAAGTTGACATTAAAAGATGCTTGAGTTTTTGATTGAAAATATCTATGTGCTTTTTGAGACCATGTCATCCAACAATCTATATGTATTTCCATGGGTACCAATTGCGCCCTGCTGTAAGAAGACCTATTTTTTGTATTCATACAATGCAAAATCTTTCAAAAAAGCTTATGCGTTAAGGAGAAAACGCTTGCTGTATCCTTCAACTCGATATTTAGATATATATATTGACGCTGTTGTCAATTAACAATGGTTAACATTCTTATGTCGATAAGATTTATCCTGGTGAGCTTGAAAAAAAAAACCCACAAAGTCTGGCACATCTGTTTCATATTTGGATATTATATTATACAAAAAGAAGTTTATGGTATCTTGCGAAATGGTTTTTGATAAAAATGATGATTTTAACTTTTCAATCGTCAACTTCCCTTACTAATGCAACAATGTACGTCGATCATCTACATACAAGGTTTATATATTTCAATTCATACGATAAGCAAGGGCATTCTTTTCGTACGAACTATGCTTAAAACGAGGCAAATTATTGACGACAAATTGCTGACACAAAAATATCAGTATGTCGACGGGATTTTCCGTTATTTCCTGATCAGGTTCACTTGTTGGGTATGACATGAGATGATCACTCCTCCTTGGCACTTGGTGCCACTTCTGAAGGTTCTTGATTGCTCTGCTCCAATTTTGTATTGTTGAATTGATTTTTGTGCTTGAATACTGTTCGTTATTTTCGTATATTCCATGGTCTTTTCATTCATTGTGCACAAATTTGGAAAACATTCATCTTGACTGTCTTCAAGTGGCACAGTGGTTGAAGCGTCTACTCTAGATTAGTAAGGAGTTGAGTTTTAAAGCTAACGTTGCGGGTTTAAACTTGGAATGTGAAGAAGGTTCTTTGGATTAGAGTCCTTATCATCATTTGGACAATTAGAAAAAGGAAATGTAAAATACCATGTAAAGAAAAAAAAACAGGCATGATCTTTATTTAGAACAAGCCACCACCATATGTTATCAAACTATCATGCAATGAAAATTATTGTTCATTATCTTACAATCGCCTTGTTTGGAGATAAAAGACAGATCTCATAATCAATATTTTCCATTTAGTACGAGATCCGTGCTGTCCCCCAAGTAGGAAACACCAAAACCACACCCATTTAAAGCACGTACCAAACTACCGGACGTTCTGGCCTCAGCGAACTGATTATCTAATCCCAACTGACGACATAGAAATGGTAGAAGCTCGACTTTACGCTGAGGAACGACGACTTGATCAAATAAATGGTGGACATGGTACTTTAGCCATGGCCCTTTCAAAAGAATTATATGGGGACGAATACTTTTCAAGGTATTTACTTATTTTCATTATTTCATAATTAATTATTATACCTGCAAAATATATAGATATACAGAAACTGATCAAGATTTGTATTCATTATAGGTATTATCCAATGTTTAATTAAATGATGAACTAAACGAACAAATAACGATTTTTTAAAAATATACAGCGATCTGCAGGATCTCTTGGATGACGAGACACCTAATTTCAACGAAAAGATACGAAGACTTTCAGACTGGTTGACAGTCCCAATATACATTTACCATTCAGAACCTGCCAAATTTAATTGTTCTCAGAGATTCTGGACAAAATTTGAACCCGCTCGTTTTGGAATAGGCCATCCCGATGATAATAAAGAATGCAGGTTTTACATCACTCTTTTCTACAATGGACTGAATGATTCCTATGATCGAATAACACCACTCAGAGGTTGTAATTGTGGAATTCCGCCACCTCTGTCTTTACTTCGAAACCATCATAGTAAGATTAAAGTCATATTGGAGAAGCATTTAAAAATTAAAAAAATTAACGAGACTGACATATTTATGTTACAAAAATTACCAAAATATACATCATCAATTTTCTTTTTCAGAAATAGAGGCCCAGCTTCTATTATGTGTGGACCCAAGAGAACGCCACCATTCTCTGCTTCCTTTCCTTTCAGAAGAGCCAGAAGAGGAAATGTTCATGACAGAAATACGAGATTTTCCAATCTGCAAAGCATACTCTTCAATGCACATAGCGATGCAGAGAAGTGATATGAAAGGAAGAACATTCGACTCTATTCAGATTTTCCAACATTCTTTACTCCGATGCTTAAGCAAAGAAATTTTTGGAACTGAACAACATGTTGATTTATTACTTAAAGAATTATGCGAAGAATTGTTGCAAAATATTACTAATTACTTACCCATCATTGGAGAAGAAATATTTAATTCTTACAAAGCTACATTTGGAAAGTTACCTGAGGGTAAAAACGACTACGAACAGCTGACGAAATTTGTTATTGGAAGAATTGAAGATGATCTTCCTACCGATGATGTATTAATATGGCTTGCATGCACCTTTTTTCAGACCAATATTTACGTCCTTCAAGTAAAGGACACAAAAACCTCAACAGAGAGTTTCTGGAAAGAGTACTCTATGCTGAGAACCCGAGAAAAAAATCCACAAAGAAATGCACTTGTAAGAAGAAAATGTCCAAAGAATAAAAATTTTTATATTTCCCTTCTGCAAACTGGAAGAAAACAGTTTTACAGAATTGTTCCAAAAACGGCTTGTTGTAATTGCGGTTTAGATATTCCCGATACTCTTATGAGTGAAGTTGACTCCACACCATACCGTTCAAAGCTAGGTAAATTCCAATAGCTGTACAAAACATGTATTTCAAATTGAAAAATATTTACAATTCATTCAAATTCACAAAATGAAATGAAAATATTGTATCCTTTGATTAATTGCAGATGATGAACTGATGCGAAAACTAAGGATAGTTGATACCCTTTTGAAAACAGCTTATGTTACTGTAGAGCAGTGGCTTCTATGCAATCAAATTCTACAGAAGAGATGTGACTTGGTTATAAATGAAATTGAAGGTCGTCGTAAAAATGTAAATATTGCCACGATATCTGGTTCTGGAGCTGGAATTGTTGGTGCAGTCCTGACAGGTGTTGGAATAGCGCTGACACCGGTAACCGGAGGAATTTCCACCCTACTGGCTGTAGGAGGAGGGGTTCTGGCGGTTTCCGGAGGAACAGTGGCCGCAGGAGCAAAAATTACTGAAACCTACTTGAACAGTGGTACAATAGAAACACTAAAACGGTATCAAAACTCTTACCGAGAGAATTTTGAGCTTTTACAAAATATAATGGAAGAATTGAAATTGGGAGTAAAGAATCTGGCAGAGATATCGACTGAAATCAGAACAAATCAGAATATTGAAGTATCCGATTTTGCGGGAGTACAGAGCTTACCGGGAATTCTAAGAACCGTAGAAGGTCTGGCAATGATTCCAGTTAGCCTGCTAAAGGTGTCAGCCAGAGGAATAACAATTCTTGGTGCAGTCATTGGGCCGCTGACTGCTTTGTTTGATGCAGGTCTATTGGCATTCTCGGCTTATAATATGGCGAAAGGAAACCGAACCGATTTGACGGAAAATCTTCGTCGAATATCAGTCTCTCTATACGGCGCTAGAAGACAGATGCACAACTGGGCATACGGGAATGGGAGACCTTTCTATTATCAATAAACATTTTAATGAGTAAAAATCGATATCCGTTCATAAATGAATGATGGATGTTAGTAATATAATTTCCATTTTCTAGATGTGAAAGAAATATGATGAAATCTGAAGATATCAAACAGTACTGAAGTATAAAAGTCATTGAAAAAATTCCAATCTGAAGCGGAGCGAATACCTCTAAAAATCAAAATTTGAATCAGATGCCATAGGGATGAATTCATCCCATGTCAATCGTTTAAACCTACCATGTACAATGTGTAATAATGATTTTTTAAAATAGTGGACTTTTTAGTGTGAAAGTAATACTCCATCATTTTGTATGAATAATGTCAGTCCGGATTCGACTTTTGGATAGATTGCACTCGCTGACAAACCATTATATCTCATTATATCCAATAATTCACTAAATATTGATTTCAAATGAGACTGTTGATATCCTTGTTTTATTTACTTATTTGTCAATAGTTTACCTCGTTAAAGAAAAAGTTCTTACAAAGAACATGCTCTTGCATATCGAATCAACTTGAAGACACAGATTCCACATTCAGGCAAAATAAACAAAGGGGCATGATTTCACTTTGTTTAATCAAAATTTTGAAGGTTATCATGAACGTCTATTTGTAGTAAAAATTCCTCAATATGAAACAGATGTGCCAGACTTTGGGGTATCTTTTATTTCAAGTTCAAAGGTATATATCAATGTCAGTCCTATAAAATCAATATAGAAATGATAATGAATATAGTTAACATTTTAAAATCACTAATTTTCAGGGGGGGGGTTTCGTTGTTTTCAATTAATGAAGAGACCCACGAATGATGTCCAATACGAAATGTAATGTCTCACATACCGGTATATTACTACTGAACAATTTTTAACCAAGAAATTAAATCCCTATGAATCATATGTTTTCATCAAACCACGAAAATTTGACCCCTCGGTAATATGTAATTTCATAGTAGATTAAATGTCTTCTATATCGAAACGTTGAAAAGAAGGTCCCAGCAGACTCAGATACTTGACTATAGTATGTACCTTGACACATCTGTTCTTTTCTAAGTGGGTCAAGGTTAAATCTGTTCTGAATTCTGTCTAAATTGCAAGTACAAATCAATGTTGGTATGCTGCAAATATTATTAACATATAATCTAAAAATTGATATATAAAATTGTGAACGACAAAATTCAGAGATGTCACAAAAATGAATTGTTCTTTTTTATTTTGCATATTTTATTTGTCATTCAATGTCTGTTTCATGAGTGAACTGAAATAAAATTTGTACGATGTGACAACATGTATTTCAACCTTAATTTTCCTTTGTTTGCTTTTTGTTTTACGTCTCTATAGAGGAATTTTTACTCAAATGGAGATGGTACTATTTGTTTGCCGGTGAAGAGGTGCAAATTTTGTCCTATACTCGGCACTCAAGTCATTCAGCAGGGAGAGATCTTTTTCGTGCCAACACCTACTGCGACACGGGACCTCAGTTTATACGGTCTCATCCAAAGGACCGGTCTCCACGTCCCATAGGAGGATTCGAATTTGCGACGTAAGGATTGACTCCTTACTTTGCGACTCTAGGGTAAACCTCCAACCACGTGGCGACATTGCACACTTGATCAAGCAAGAAGTTCCTTGATACTAGTACTCCAAGGAGTAGAATTAACAAAATTATATTTGCCTCAATCAAAGGTATTTCGCGTACGTTAATACTGGGCACCGTTCTTATTCTTCTTGTATGCTCTCGTTACTTTTGGTGTTAGGTTTTTTATGCTGGAGACCCCCACGATTTGTCTTCGCGACGTCTTAGGATTTACATTTTCATTCTCACAGATAATTGTTCTGTCGTATTTGAAGAAGAATTAGGAGTAAAACAAAGCTGTGGTGAGCTGCTTGTATCTTGGAAATAGTAACCACGCAGTCGACTACCTACAGAAGAAAGTATAATCTAAGGAGTATGTGGATACCAATGAATCCATTGAACACCTCAACACAATTCCGGCGATCAGAGCAAGATTAAAGCTACACTGTGTTTATGATCATATATTATATTAGTGAATAAATGACATTTTCATTCTCACAGATAATTGTCCTGTCGTATTTGAAGAAGAATTAGGAGTAAAACAAAGCTGTGGTGAGCTGCTTGTATCTAGGAAATAGTAAGAGACATAAAACACCCACTGTGTAGATAATAGTATTTATGGCGAACTTTCCCTGTATTAAAAGTTGCCCCCTTTTGGAAACCTTAGTGATTTAACCATGTTTTGAACCTCTGAAAATATTAGCCATGTAGATGGTGCATTATCTAATGAGAATTCAATAAAGAGTCATGTGGTTTTGTTATCATTGCCAAACACTGAATCAAGGAACACGCTTTTATACTTTTAAATTGTAATTTTCCACTACCTCCCCATTCTCATATTCACCTATACTTTTTTATTTGCATTTAATGTTTAAGTTTTTTTTGGTGTAATTCTCATTTTGTTTTAATATACAAGAATACAAAATAAGAGCAAAGCAAACCATCAGAGGTTGGGTCAGATGTTATGAAGGAGTGAACAACCCCTGCCGACGGTCACATCCGCCATGTGCTCCTTGTCATGACAAGAATAACGGGAAAATCCGTCTTCAATAAATGTGTATATATAATGGACTAATAATTGGTATGAAAACGTCAGCAAGCATCTCACTCAATGATAAATTGTATTTGCCGACAAGGTCATTGTATGGACCGTAGAACTGACTAAATAAGGACTTTAAACGAGACTGCAAATATTCTTTTTGTCAATAATTTATCTCGTTTTAGAAATTGTTCATTCATATTGAGCATGTTCTTACGTATCAATCCAACTGAGATACATAAACTCCGTATGCAGGTGATGAACGTATGTTGCTGCATAAGTAAGGGAAGTTAACGATAGAAAAGTTAAGGGTCCTCCACACACCCACAGCTTATGTTCTCATATTATTGAGCATTACTTTTAACAAGCATATCAAACTTTAAGAACTGTCCAGGGATTAAAATATAATTTTTGCTGATTTTTAAAAATAATTATTTCACAATTATTACTATTAACATCTTTTTCAAATAAAATATCTTAAAAGGAAACAGATGTGTCATCTTTTTTCTCTCAAACTCACCATGGTATATCGTATCGACATAGGAATGGAAATAACAATTATTGTTAATTGACAATACGTCATTGATTTATCTAAATGTCCAGTTTAAGGCCACAACAAGTGTTTTCTTCTCATCATGCACAAGATTTTGCACAAATTTTGTTTATATGAATACAAAAATAGGTCTGCTAATAACATAGCTGATAACAGAGCGAAATTGGTATTCATGGGAATACAGATATATATTGTGGGAAGACCTGGCCCCGGGATCATAAAACATCTTAAGCTTAAGTCAAAATCTCTTTTTGATAATAAAATGTTGCAGAAATCAAGCAGACCAAAATGAAAATATTTTCAATATTGCTTTTCAGAAGTGTTGTTATCTGCACATTTCGAATTAAATTCCATAATTCAGGAATATTTCATAATAAGCAATTGAACATTTGACTTAAGTCTAAGTTTGTTTTATGATCCTGAGGCCTGGTCTCTGAGAACCACATGTATATTGTCAATCAGAAACTCAAGCATTTTTGATGTCAGTTTCAGAGTACTTGTGTGTGCAAATCAGAATGGGTTTTAACAAAATGTTTTTTGCAAATGACCAATGACCAGGTAAGTAAATTTGCGAGTTCAATTTTAATTGAAAAAGCAGCTGTCAATCATATCAAAGAGCCTGGACTTTAATTTATCGTTGGGGATGGTTGTGTGTAAAGTTGAAAAGTCGTAAGTTTTTAAGCTGTTGAGTTTGGTAAAATATTGTTATTTCAAATTTCCAAAACTTTTAGAGAATCCACATCTAATTCACACCACCTCTTGAATATATTGTTGCACGGTACTGTTGAAGTTTTTCCTTCACTGCTGTCAATATCTTAGTGAGAAGTAAAGAAAGAGGCTTGTTTGAACATTCACTGGAACCTGCAATGCATCTTTATTTGCAAGGACACTAAGGCACCGGATGATTACTAGGCGATATGAGAGTCAATGACTGTTTGTTATTTGATTTATTACTGCGGGACTTCTCCTGTGGCAACATCACAGGCAGTGGACAAGAAGGTCATTCAAGGATCTTTTCATGATACTAACACATTTTTCAATCCCACTGTTTTGGAAATAATGGCATATTATATACACTATTACCGATCCAGCAAATATTTCATTTTGGCTCTGTGGGATATTAAAAGTATACAGAAGTTACATATGATTTTGAAGGATATCTTCCTTAGAGAGGGGAGTATAAGTTGGATTACCACTTGTAGAATTAAATCCAATTTCTTCTAGAGTATAATTTATGTAATAAGCCTTACAAACAAGGACAATGTTGTTACCTGTTTTTTCAGCAAGGACCAGAACGTACTGATCATGTAATCTATCTATTATTTTTTCACTTCTGGATTATTGAATACAGAAGGATAATTGGTTTTCATATTGTCCCTCAAACTTTTAATACGCGATAATTAATATGGATCCGATACATTTAAACCATTCTGACAAACTGTCAACATCTTTTTTATATCGTCTGGCGTAATCTACAACATAATTCATTATATTTATGAAATTCCGTCGCCAGTTGAAGGATTGGGGTTCCCTATATTTAGGACCTTTTAAAAATAAGTTAAAATAAAATATAAAAGAAATTGCTCTACTCTAGCGCAAGACTTCAACTGGGAAACATGGCTCTTGAGCGGGCCTTCCCTGTGGGGTTAGTACCACTCTAGAAAATACGTTACTGAGGATGGGGGTAATGCTCGAAGGCAAGGGATACCCCTTAAGTAGACTTACACTTTTCGATAAGTTTTAGTGGAAAGTATGACTAAAGTTATGTTTCCCCCTAGTATTCAATCAAGATAAGCCTTACTGTGGGGGAGGTTTAGCTTTGAAATATCAAGACTATTGGTAGACAGGTGAAAATTCGTTGATGAATACCATTTCTTACAATATTCCCTTGATTGTTTTCCTTCATTTGTTACTCTTTTGTGATTGCACGTCGGTATATTTTTATTCATGAAATCTGCTCTTCTGTGCCTGAAATTTGGATATCTCTATGTTTGGTTTGTTAAGTGTAGCATCAGGATAAAAAAAAAATAGTTTTCCTATCTGTGTCCGGAAATAGTATTTTCCATTGTATTTCCTCCAATGATTTCTTTGTGTGTTATACCACTTCTTACTCGCAATTTTTCTCAAAATAATAAAGGTAATTTTCTTTTCCTTTACAAGAACTTAAGGTATACCTTTACTCAGGTTGACTAAACATTCCACTAAGAACGGAAAACCACCTATTGCAATTTGTACACCTATCATTCTGGAGTTAAATTTCAATCTCAAATTATCATGACCTACTTTTCATGCTAGTGGCCCCTGAGTATTTCGGGGGAAAAACCTAAATTTTTCACACTGTGACCAATTTTTTCTTCACTCAGTAACACAACTTTTTAAATAATGAAGTATGATAGCAATGGAACAGCGTTGCTTCATATAACGAAACGAAACTTGTACATGAAAATGATCGAATGAAGATACATAAGAAGGGGGTAATGCCCTTAGCAGCACTTTCGAAAGATTAAATAATCATTTTTTAAAAAGAATTTATTCAATTTTTTAAAATTATTCTGCTAAACAACATTTTTCTTGATTCCTACTGGAAAATAATCTTCTAAAAGATATATTTCTATTTTGGTATGAATTTGAATTAACATTGTTTGCAATAAAAACTATTGCATCACAGGATTAATTTTAAATTACTACAGTAATATATCAAAACAAGCAGTGGCATTGTCTTTTCTTCACTGTATTACATTGATTATTTAAAAAGTCAATTACATGCATTGTCATAAAATGAGCATCCATACTCATGAACAATAAATGCGTTTAATATAAATAATCATCTTAATTTGCTATGAAAAACATTTAAATAAGATATGCCAAGCATACACGTATATACATTGTATACTGCATCTTTCCAGATAAGTAACTTACCTGACTGCTTTGATGAACATGCAGTTATTGAGTATATTCCCCAATTTTAATACTCTACTCCCTTGAAACAAAACCCTGGTACTAGACGTGCAGGTATACAAGTATATAAATATATAATAATATAAAAAAAAAATAACAGGCAAATGTCAAGATAGACCTTCCAATATTTGACAATCATTGATTGTGTTATCTAAATATCAACACTTTCTTCGAAACTGACAGATGTATATTCTTATTTCATATAAATTTCATCCAAAACAAGATATTGATAGTAAGTTAATTTACATACACATGTACAGTAAATATTAGGGATGGCAATTTGTAACCGGTTCTGCTAATCGGTTAGAAAATCCGTAATCGTTAGTCGGAAAAATTTAAATATATGTAAATTTGAGCGCAGTTTCCTTAAAATTCTTCTGGTTCTTTTTTGCGTGGACCCTGAGGTCCACGCAGTAAATATATAAGCGAGGTTACACCGGATGCCATGGGCAAACGACAGGCTACGCAGGTGCGAGAATACTAGAGAGTTTGCACCTTAGGTAACTTGCCCGTAGAATAATTCGATCTATTCGAGTATTAGAATATGCTATTCATTGGCAAATCGCGCTTTTAAATCCGCATGTCGCATTTACATATTCATTGGCGGATCAAAATTTCTTTGTTATACATATACTTTTATATACAAACTCAACATTGATTCTATGGTATAAGCATTTTAAAAAGTAGGAAGAACTTGCAATATACTGTACATGTATATATATATATATTTTACTTAACAACTTGATTGAAAAATGTCATTCAACGACTAGTTCTAGCTGTTTAAAGATAGAACAAGTATTTCACCGGCATTAGTTTTGTGCATCAAGGCTCGAGAAAATGATTTAATATTTCAACAATCCAAATACCGTTTGATAGAGGTCTGCAGCAACGGTTTTTAATGTGTTGGGGGGGGGGAAATCAGCGTGCTACAGAGCTGTGCTACACGTGAACCATCAGATCTCTATTTTTCCCTTTCTGATATCTTCCGTATAAATCCAGAACATGTGCCTAGTCCAAGCCATTATGGGTTACATGTATCAAAATAGCCCGATTTTTTAAACTGACAAAACTAAAGGCTTATCGGAGATAAAATTTAACAATTTTGCTTTGAGACTACAATCAGTCATAAGTAGGCAGATCATTGTAGAAAATGTGAACAAACCTACATGAATATTCACTACACCTAGAAATTTTCTTAATTGAATTTCGGTTGAAAAAACATGCATATGGTCCACGTATTGCAGTCCTTTTTTAAAGGACAGCAACTTGTTTTTTTTTTTTTTTTAGAAAAGAAAGCGCTGCATAGATTTTTTTGTGTGTGTTTTTACACATCTTATAATTAAGAATATTTGGAGGTAATTATAGCTTTCCAGATTGAGATCGCAGAGTAATCGCTCAATTCCTAAAGTGCATGTTAATTACTGTTTTTATAACATCATGCCGTTACCCAGTTAGTCCTGTGGATTTTCTAATAATATTAAAAACACCACCATAAAGTACTTTTAATTATAGTATGTGCTGTTATCTGTTAAATTATATTTTTATAAAGAACGTTGTAAATTGTAAATAGAGTGAGAGTTCAGACATGGACTAGTTCTGATTATGGTGACAACTCAAAATTAACTTCTTTAACATCTGCGTTGGAAAATCATGATCCTGTCCGATTTCTCAAGCAAGATTCATGGTTTTCTTAATTTTTCCTTGTCTATTGAAATAAAATATACTCTTGTGTACATAAAATTCCCCGATCAAAATAAGAAACAGAATGTAAACTCTAACGTCTTTTTAGCCTTTTTGTCCAAATGAAAAAAAAGTCAAAATGTATATCTTGATATGACTAACCGGTCAATCGGTCGGAACGTTTTGCGGTTAACCGATTAAGTATAAGTCACATTATCCAGCGATGGGGTATACGATGAGAAACCGATGCGTTTTTTGATGAAAATGGCATGATTGCCGGTCGGGCACCACTAGTGATCGGACGGTGAATGAGGCCATTTTGAGAATCGTTGGGGTCATCGGTAGGAAATAATTCGTAGTTAAAATTCAGCGATGTCTCCAACGATGCCTCACATGGCTCCTCATCGGCAACTCATCATTAACACATCTTTCAACGATCGGCCGATGTATGGAAGAGCATCGTCCAATATCCGTTGAAACAGAGGTCATCGGGGGGTTGAGTGGTGTTCAAGAGATAATTGCCGATCACCGGTCGATTTTTGACCAAACATTTGCCTGTAGTCGACCGACGTACGAACAATGTTCACCAATGTATAAGCGATGTAATATACATCGGCCGATTATCCTGGAACATCGTTTTTTGATAAGCAATGCATCGCTGGGACTTTGTAAGTCCGGCCGGCAACCACGCCATATTTATCATAAAACGCATTGGTTGCCCATCGTATACCCATCGCTGGATAATGTGACTGATACTTTAAGGACAACTAGGCCGATGTGGACCGATGTTGGAGCATCGCTAACACCACGGATTACCACCGATTACCACCGGTCTACGGCTACTGGCCGGGAAATGTGACCTAGGCATTAGCAATTCTGCAATCGATTGCCATCCCTAGTAAATATATAATATTCTTTTTTATTTCATCTTTAAGGTGCATGCAGATTAGAGAGATGAATATTAATACATGCAATTAAAATTCTCCAAAAGTCTCCTCACACGAATAAAATCAAAATCCACCATGGCAATTTTTCTGTGGTCTCAATTTTATTATGTCTTGTTTTAGAGTTTCCCCACTGAGCCTTATTATTGCCTGTTAATGAAGAAATCCATTAAATCTTAGTGTATTATTCGCATCTACGGAGAAAAATCGAAAATACAGAAGCTATTTAGGATACTGTAAGCCGAAAGATTTATAGTTAACATGGTAAACAAATACTCCGGTATATCGTAAGGTTGTCGTCAAAACTCTAGATAAAGATACAGGTATTTCTTTTAGAATCTGTCACACTTTAATTTTTAATTTACCTTGTGGGACTAAATACAGAATTTGTTCTAAATTTATATTTTCCCCAACAAAATTAATTTAAAATTAAGAATCATGACATACGTATTAAGAAAAACTTAATATCATTTCTTGTTTTATGAAACACATTTAATTCATGTAATAACTTTGTGTTATGTTCAGTAACAGTGAATGTACCTATCAGTATTCCATCATTGTGTAGAGAATTTTCCTGTTAGACAAAAGTGCATATGTTTGAATTTTTTTTTGTTTTTTCGAAATTTTGATACATGTATGTATATTTTTTTCATAGAAAAACAAAGGGACGACAACTGTACGGCTACTAGTGCGATGATTATCACCTGAGATAGATCTTTCCACTTTATATCAAAGTCTTCTTCTTCCATGATGCTATTTGCCGTTGTCTTGTGCTCAACTTCATTCCTATAGAATCGAATCCTTTCCACGTCATCGGTCTTACGTTTTTGTGCTATGTGAGGTTTCTTTCCCCATCCATTACTCGGCTCGGGGAGATTTTGACCATAATTCCTCAACAATTTGTACATAATAGTCACATCAAACGTAGAAGACGACGGTGTGGATTTGTCCTCTGTAAGGTAGTATAAAACATTATAAATTGAATTCTGAAACTAAGACAAGTTATTTAAACAGACTCTTGACACCACTTATTGATTAGTTTTTGTAGTTCATAAAAATCAACCTCCATTGTTTCGTCTGTTTTTCTCTGGGGATGAATTGTACAGTTGTAGAGGTTTGCTATTTTAATGAACTAAATCTTTAAATTATGAAATAAGAAAGATATGAACGTGAGAGAGATCGATCTTCCTACTTAATCAATATCGATATAATGGACTTAATGATAAGGATATCAGAGGCATGTTACATAAACCTTATCCTGCAGAAACTTATTCAGAATGGGGAATACACAGCATATTATTCCTTTGGACTGAACTTTGAATTTTTGTTATTAATAATAGATATTTAAATGTGCTGTTGGGTTTACAATGTTGAGTACAACCTTTCGGCCAAATTTATTGATCAAACGAACCCCTTAATATTTGTCAATTTTTGCAACTACATGATTATAAATGTTCCGTAAAGTGAGTTTTCGAAACAATAAAATGCTTGTGTATTTTCTATACGGATGTAACGGTTGGAATATTGCTGGAAAAATAGCATCACTCGCGTAATTTTTGTCTGCAATGATTGCAATCGTTTCACATTGTGTCTCGTAAAACAAAACGGAGACATTTTATTCTTAATATTTATGCCTTACGATAAATAATACTATGGAGTACGTAAAATATTTTATCATATATATTGAAGAATCATTTACTTCTATTGTATGTGAAGTTTCAGATTACTTTAGAAACCGATCCGATAAGTTTTGAATAAATTAAAGTTATTGCCTCAGATGAACAATAATAAGCCTTTCACAAGATTTAAAGAACATTAATCAGTCGCTGTAATTAGAATGACTTTAGCATTTGCTTCTTACGAGGGCTGTTCAATAAATAATGTCCTGAAGTGTATGACATACAATACAGATATCATATGACATTAAACTTGACTTCCTCTCATTATTAAATCTTAACTGAATTTATAACAGTTTATGTGACCACTTTTCATCACATAGTTTCATCGTGAGAAACTGGGAAACAAGGGCTTTTCGAGACACTGCATTATAAATAAATAGTAAAGAATCGGTAAACTAGAGTGAAAATAAAGTCTACATTATAGCTGCTGTGAAACTTATTAAGAATCCCAAATAAATATTCACTGAAATATGTGTCATTTACAGCAACCGATGCCTGATTTATAGACAAATGATCAGATGGATTTCAATGATAAAAAATTATATAATGGGCATAAAAAATGGGTACCCTCCTTGCCAACAAAAACTTTAACAACTTATATACTGTTTGCCAAATTTCAACAAATAATATTGGATGATGTATGATTGACTTTAAGACACATAGCAAATTTTATAGACATCATATCGGGAGTAATCTACACTGTATTTAAGAAACGTCTGAAAGTATAAAAGCTTGGTACTCAAAGGTCACCCTATATTTTGAAAAATTAGTGAAAACGACATCGTGTACGAAAGTCTTAACAATTATTTTAAAATATCAGGAAGTGTAGTTATCCACGTTTGTTTTATATTTAAACTGATATTGGAACATGAATCTATTGCTTAAAATCATCAAAACTAAATTTACCATAAGATGTACTTTATAAAAAACGGCGAAGGTCTGACAAAAGCAAAGGTATGCAAGAGCACAAAGACAGATTTATATGCAATTTTTAAAAATATTGGTGGTATTGTTGTTCAAATCGTATTCGGGGAGACAGTTTAATATCTGGAGGAGTCTAGAAAGCAAATCTTTGCCAAAAAAATCGAAAGGTTTATCAGAGGAAGGACCCAGAATCAGGAATTCACTACACTGAATTTCTTCATGACAGCGTGCAAACCCGCATGCCCTGAAGAGTAAAGGGGTTTTCGGGATCAACAGAAAGTTAATGTATTTTCACATTAACAATATTTGCCAGATCTTTTACCTTTTGACTTGTTTCTATTTCCAAACTTGAAAAAAAAACACTTTTCTGAAGGAAAAAACAAATCCAAGAAATCATTGGATCTGCCAATTTCCAGTATACTAAGGGTCATACCCAAAAATGAGTTCTAAAAACAATCAGAAATTGGATAAAAACTGTTACGGACATTTGTTTGAATTAAAAGAGTTTAATAAGTAAAATCATGAAGATTAAATCATTGAAAAGCGTAGTTTGCTTCTTACTGAGCACCGAGGACATTATTTATTGAACAGCCCTCTAATTCATTTTTACTACCTTAGGTAAAATTTCACGTTTCTCTCCAATTGACATGATTGAATAACAGTGATTTTTCAAAACTTTTCTGACATCAAAGTATGACATTGAACCAACATCGTTATAAAATTCAATTCATGAAACCGATATTACACGTGGAAGCGATTAATGTTTCACTATGAGAGGGACAGATAAACAGATTTGAAGCTTTCAATAGTGATACCTGGATAGAGTTGATCACATTGTTCTTCGCTTAGTTTGAACGGTCCTTTTTGTATGTCCTCCTTGTTGTCTGACGATAATTTGTCCACTGAGGGAAATATCTCATCAAAATAGATCTGCAGAGCCTCTCGTCCAATCTTTGTAAGTTTTTTAAAGGTCTTAAAATTCCTTTTCAATTCAGACTCAGAGAGAATTTTATCTTCATTCCCACCCGATGATTCATTTAAATCTATAATGGGAAAACAACATGATAATATCTTATATTAAAGCTTTATTAATATAAAACCTGGCGACAATTAGTAATGTATATTAGATCTTACCTCTGACATCCCCTTGTACATCCTTTAAAGAGAAAATGAAATAAACCCTCAATAATTTAATTTATTGATTTTGAATTAGAAAGATATCCACGTCTTAATATTGTTTTAGGCTTTACCGAAAACTAAAATAATACGTAGTGGATTTTTTTTAAAACTTTGTCCTTTTTACCTTTTTCCAGTAAAACAGAAGAACTGATTCACTGAGTATGTGGTGGTGGACCAGTCCATGTCTTGGACATTTGATTTCCTTTTTCTTGTAAATTTGCGCTTCCTCAACAAAATTACTATCATATTCATGGAAAACTTCCTGTTTTGAGCACTGATATCCAACAGTATACATTTCAATTGCTTTGTGAAAGTTACCTAGGAGATCTTTTAAATGAAGTTCAATAGTATCACGCACTTCCAATGTAACACTCTTTGTGATGGAAATGTTTGCGGGTTGAAAAACTTGAAGCTGAATAGAAGATTTGTTCACTGCTAAAGCAACTGCATGTTGTTTATACTCAAAGCAAGCCACATTTTTGTACAGACAAAGTCCATTGTCTTCCAAAACCCTCCATTCCCTATTATGTTTTTGCAAACAAGCTACGATCAAACGAAAGAAGAAGAAATATGGCAAAAAATTGAATCTAAACACTAGTACTGACGTTTTATATTTCAATGATTGAAAGTACTCCTCTTCTTCTTTTCCAAATGTGCGCTTGTTCATACATGGAATATAGTGTGGGTTTGTTCTAACAGCAATCGGACCACGGCGCTGCATTTTCGAGCGTGGAATATATTGTGGGTCTGTACTAATAGCAATCAGACCAAGGCGTTGCATGTATTGGAGAAGATTTGTCTTGTCCCTTTTGTTTATTTTGAAATGCTTGCTGTTCCAAATACTGGTTAAAAGTTTGTCTTGAATATGCCCTGTCCTGTAAAAGTCTAACCAATCACGATTGTTGTCTGCAATATCTCTTACATGGTTTGGATCAGCAATGATGTTCTTAAAGGAATCAATAAACCACTGTATGTCAATAATAACAGTTTCGAAAAGATTACTCTCATGAAAATAAAGCACAATTCCTATGTCATGGTAAAATTTCAATACATCTAAAAGTTGTTGGAATTTTTCTACGTTCCCCTGGAAACATGATATTAGCAATTCTATAATCGAACACATTTTTTTCTGCTTCCGGTGTTCTCTGAGTACAACCTCAGTCAGTGCCCAGTCTGCTGGAATGGTTTCTTTCCATCTTGTCCCTCGAGCTATTGAAACAATGCACTTTTCAAGTTTAGAAATTTCGTCAAGAACAGCCGCCTCATTACTTTTAAAACCAAGGACGAAACATCTTTCTCTGCTTAGGTGGTTCTTTAAATGTTTATTGTACTTTATATGGTCTAGAATACTGTTGTAGAGAGTGTTAGAGTTCTACAAATATAAATGTAATGATTGGATTGTGTTTAATTACTTAAACAATAAAATGCTTTCTTTGGTTGTTAGTACGGGAATGAATGTCGCAGCTGTTGCTGAAAAATACATAACCCGCGTAGGCGGGTTATGTATTTTTTTCTGCAGTAACTGCGACGTTCATTCCCGTAATA